CAAAAATTTAAATATTATAATAAAGGTATTCGTAACTATATCATTTTTAACATGATTATCTAATTTTCATATATTAATATTTATATAATTATGAAATTATATTTTAATTAAAAATACTGTATAATATACATATTATGTTGATTTAATAGTTATTGTCATTCAGTGACAACTAAGAATGTCTTCAGATATAGTGAGGCTTTAGACAAATATTTTGTACATAAAAGAAGATTTATTGTTATAATAACAAAATGATTTGATAAATAATAACCATTTTAATTTTTATTTAAATATAATATTAAATTAACAACATTCCTTAATAATCAAATTGGTAACAAATAATTTACTTATATTATGAATGTAAATATTTTCAACACATAAGTTAGAAAATAAAATAATATAAACATTTTTTTAATAAAATATATTTATAAAACAGTTATAAACTAAATTTATATGAAACATTTGAATTAAATCATTTTTTAAAAAATTTGATTCATTAAATGTACCGCACGTGTTGAAAAAACACGGAATAACACTAAATAGCCCTATCATACACAACTTTGTGTATGATTTCATAAATGTATTACTTTTTCAATGAAATGTTTACTATAATTAAAGTAAATTTTATAAAATGTTTATAAAATCAAGATTCACAACTTTGATATCAAATAAAAAATGTATTATAAAACTAATATTGTTATTATTATTACTATGCATTTTAAACCCAAAATAATACAATTAATTAGTGGAATTAATATAAAGGATATACAGTATAAGTAACTTGATTAAAAGGGCCCATTATTTATCAATTGAACTTTATATGCAAATTAAAACTTGATATCTACATAATATATTTGTGTCAATATTCTTTGTTATAACTAAATCATACTATAAACAAAAAATAAATTTTTAATCATTATTTGCTTTTTACTCTTTAATATAAATACTTTAAATTATCTTTTCCTTTATTTCAAATAAATCTCTTTTTTGTATTATTAAAAAATATAATATTTTGGAGAATTTGTTATTATTTGATAACATATTAAAATAACATGTTTTTGACCACAAGTTCATTAGATCCCAATATATTGTTTGTCAATTGATTTAATGGTTTCTGAACTCTCACATCAAATTGAAAGTCAATTTATATCAAAATACTGAAGGGTATCATAAATTTTCATTAAAAATTTTTATTAATCTAAATATTTGTTTAATAAATCGATTAATTTTATTAAAACAAATTCATTAAGTGATGATTTCAGTGTAATTAGTGTCAGTAGTAATCCATACTCTCAGAGCACACAATATTTTCTACCATTAATATTTTTTACCAAGTTACATTGGAATTGTTTTCAATGTATTGATAAAAATATTTTTTTAATCGTAAAAAAGTATAATTAATCACAAAATCAATATTTGTTTTATTATAATCGTTAATATAATAACAACACAACAGTAGTGAATGTATAGACTTTAGTATTGTTAGCAAATCCCACACTTTTATAAACTACCTGTGCACATTGTAATCGCACCTAACTATGGCTTAATTTAGACATGATTGTATTTATGNAACAAATGCACATTTTTATTAATGAATTAAAATATGAATTAACTTCTCATCTAAATACTGAACCAGTACAAAATAACAATTCTAAAACCTAAAGTGCATTTTAATAAGTTATATTTATTAAAATTGTTGCAAAAATTATTAAATAAGTATTATATGAAAATTCTGAAATTAAACTGCACATAATATATTACACTGTATTACTTGTATAGTAAAAATAACAAACAAATATCTTATTCAGTATTTGTTTTCACTTTTGTCAATGAATTTCGACATCAAAATCAATACGAAAATAAGTTTCAAAATAGTTTCGTCAGAATCTGTACTTAAAGCTAAAAAATAACTAATAGTTATCTGCATTATCTGAATGTCAGTCGATTATATCAAACACATGTAAAACATGACAAAAGTCAGGAACAGAGGACCTGACGGTGCGATTTGGTGACAACCGACCGCTCATTTGGCATCAAATATTCATTTATTGTTTACTATAATTAAACAAATATTTATTTGTTGATAATTTTTCAATACTCACGAAATAAACAATTCTTGTAAACAATCTATCAGTTAATATATTTTATATATGTTTTATCGCATGATTTTCAAACCAAAACTCTTAGTATCCGGTCATAAAAACATTATCAAATTATTACAAACAAATTCCCGTAATTATCAATACAATTTACTTAAGGGGTAAAAAGCAGTTTAAACTGATTGGAAAGTTATTGAAAATGTATTAACGAATAGTTTTAATAATATTCATTAAAAGTTTTCATTTCATTTATAGGTATAATAATATTATTGCATTGAATTGATAGAAATGTTGATAAATATGAATTTAATGAAAGCACAGCAATATTGTAATCAAATTAGATTTAAGGGATTATTGAAAACACGTAATAAAATTACTTATTTAGTGCATAAAATCTAAATATTGAATGCATTAACAGTATTAGTGTGAAAGCGAATAGATTTATGGCTTTGTTTTAAGTAAATTTATCTCAATTATTGACAACTTATTTGTGGGAAAGTTTTTAGTGTTTGGAAAGTATACAAGAAATAGGAAATAGATTGGTAATTGTTTTATCAATATATGGAAATTAATTACAACCATGTCATTTTATGAACACTCGAAACGACTTAATTGATTAGACTTTTGGGTCTAAACTTAGGGCTAATAGAGTACATGTATAAACCTTATACAATAGTCTGGTGCCAGTGATCTAAAGGGTCTAAAGTTTTGTAACGTGTTATCCAAACGTGTTCTCCATTCGCGACAATATCTCTGCGATTGTGTTCACAGTTTTCAGACGACAAACATTTTTGGCTACAATTTCGCCTCAAATTGTGTCGAATGGAAGTCAATATAAAAACCAAAGATCTCTGTTAGGCGTCGAAGAAATTTATTATAGACTTATCCTCTATTGATAACAACTCCTGTCGTATACAACACTATTGATGTGAACATCAATTGCCTATAAAAGCCAACCCCTAAGAGAGCAATGATTTCATTATAGTTTGAATTCGCTTCCGATAACTTTGTGCAAAGTCTTAAGGTTTCCATTAAAACCAATTCAAGTATTATAGCATAATATATATATAATAGATATATATATATATAGTAACAAAGTTTTTCAACGCTAAAAATGAATGCTTTAATTGTTTTAATTGTCTTAAGTGTCTCTTATGAATGTAAGTTCAAGAATATTCACCACATTTGTGTCACATTTAACTAAACAAATGTTTTCGTTGAATAGGTTTTGGTTATGTGTTGCGGACGGGCGACGACAGGGAGAACCGTATCATTAATTTGAAAGATATCAACACAAAACTACACGAAACGCAAGTGATGTTAATGATGAAGAAGTTGAGGCCAAAGAGGGACGCAATGGATAATCTAATCTACGAAGTGGTGGCCGACGCTGAGAAGGATGAGCTGGAGTCGGATT